TGAGGGGAGTGGGTGCCACTGGGTTAGAGAACCCCAAAGTCCCCTCTGGCCCTGCCAGATATGACCCCCGTGTGAACTGGTGTTTTAGACTTAATTCTTAGGACAGTCCATGAACACGGTTAAAATATCAATCAGTGCGAAAGGAGCCTCTCCCAACTCAACCTGCCCTCCTTCCCACCCAGTCTTGTACCTCTTTCAGATGAGGAGTGGGGGGTAGGTGTCCCCATTCTAACAATACAGGAAGCTCTGTGCTCTGCGTCCTTGCTTCTAGTTCATGTAGTAAGTCCACATCTGCACACATGGCTGCCTGTGTTCTGCTCACAGCTGCACCCTGAGACCAGCACACAGACATCTGGACTGCAGCCAGCCCTTGGCTAATTCAAATAACAACACTGAACATGTGCATTCAGGGTTAAGTATGTCTTCTCCCAAGCAGATTTGGAGGAGAACACCTGGCTGAGAGTAAGTGCATTCACCATCCAGAAAGGCAGTATGAATTTAAAGTCCTGGCCATGGTGGGTGGGAGCTGGCTTCTCTGCCTTTCCCAGCACTATTGTGCTGACTTTTAAATCTCTTCTAATCTGACAGTGTAAAATGACTTCTCTTCATTGTGACACTTACTGGATTTTGAAGTTGTCCTTTCTATATATCTGAAAGCCACGTGTTTCCATTTATGTTCCCACTTCTTTGCCCAGTCTGACTCCATCACACCTGTGTCAGTGAATCCATGCTGTATATGCTGCCTCCCTGACAGTCACCTAAGTGGCTATCTAGTTATCAGATAGATGGTCAGGTGTCCTGATGCTTGTGTTCAGGTGACTCCTACATTACTTAATGTGGACTCTAAAGAGCAAAGATAGTGGTGCTGGCAATTCAGAGGTGATAAAAGATGACTCACATTCCTCCCAGGACAGAGATTTCCTGACACTACTCAGAAGTACGAGATCTAAAGTCTATGACGTGCTCATGTCTGGAATTTCCCACGACCACAGCTGCATGTAACTGAAACCAAAGGAAGCAGAAGTTCAGATGGGGGGGACGACTCTGGGCCCCAAGTCTGTTTTCTCCCCATTCTGGCAACACCGCGGCCACTTGAGCCTGGACTGGCTAGTCCTCTGCCTTGCTGCTGCCTTTCCCCTGGTCTTTTCTCCATCCAGGGGACAATGGATTCTTCTAAACCAGGAGCCGGTCATGCCTCTCCTCTGCTCACCGCCTTCCACTGGCTCCATCTACCCAGAGTCGAAGGCTTTGCTGTGGCTCACCCGTCCCTGGGGAGCCTCGAGGGGCCTGGGCCCTCTGCTCCTGCGCCCACTCAGGCCCTTCCGGGTTTCACTCTTCTGGCCATTGGTCCCTGGAGAAGGTCCCTCCCCTACCTCAGCTCGGCTCAGAGGCCCCTGCTGAGCGACACCTGCCTGGTGGATCCCGGCCTCTACCACAGCTCCTGCCCTTGCTGGCTTTAGGCTCACTGTGACCTTCCAACATGCCATGCTTTCCTGCTGTTTATGGCCATTGTCCCCAAATGGAATGGAATCTCCTTGTTTTCCCATTTTTAAAGTTGCCATGGTGGCCGCACTTAGAATTTGCTATCAAATAAACATGAGATAAATATTTGCCAAATGAGCAGATGGTTGAGTTAAATAGTCACTTACGCTCCTGCATGGTGGCCTTTTTTTCTCTTTGTGGTACTGGAGATAGAAGCCAGGCCTTGTGTGCTAGGCCAGTGCCCCACCACTGAGCAGCCCCCAGCTCCTCGCCAGAACCGGGCTCAGGGGTGTGAGGAATGCCAACAGCCCTTCAGTGTGTGTATATTTATTTATTTTGAGACAGGGTCTCGCTAGGTGGCCGAGGCTGGTCTTGAACTTGCAATCTCCTGCCTCAGCCTCCCAGGTAGCTGATCACGGGTGTGCACCATCATAACCAACAGTCTTTCTCTTGGTGTGAAGGGAATCAGATGTTTCTGGCATTAATCTAGCAAATATCTTCCTAGTTTTTGCTTTATGATTTTATTTAGATATTTTTTTCTATGCAGAAGTTTTGATAATTAGGTAGGCAAAATATTTAATTTTTAATTTGTGATTTCTGGATTTTATTCAGATTAAAAAACTTTTGTGTGCGTGTGTTTGTGTGTGTGTGTGTGTGTGTGTGTGTGTGTGTGTATATATATATATATATGCGCTAAAATATACATAGAACATAAAATTTGCCATTTTATATGTGCCTTTCAGTGTCATTAAGCACATTCACACTTTGCACAACCACCCATCTCTCCACCTCCCTCTTTCCCTCTCTCCCTCCCTGTCTCCCCCTCCCTGTCTCCCTCTCCCTGTCTCTCCCTCTCCCTGTCTCTCTCTCTCCCTGTCTCTCCACCCCCTGTCTCCCTCTCCCTGTCTTTCCCTCTCTGTCTCTCCATCTTCTGCTTCCACCTCCCTCTCTCTCCCTCCCTGTATACCTCTCCCTGTCTCTCCCTCTCCCTGTATCTCTCCCTCCCTGTCTCTCTCTCCCTCTCCCGTCTCTCCACCTCCCCAGTCTCCACTTCCCTGTCTTCCCCTCCCTGTCTCTCCCCCTCTCAGTCTATCCCTCTCCCTGTCTCTCTCTCCCTGTCTCCACCCCCTGTCTCCACCTCCCTGTCTCCCTCTCCCTGTATCTCTACCTCCCTGTCTCTCTCTCCTTGTCTTACCTCCCCGTCTCCAACTCCCTTCTCTCCACCACCCTGTCTCTCCCTCCCTGTCTCTCCACCCCCTATCTCTCCACTTCCCTGTCTTCCCCCCCCTCTCCCTGTCTCTCCCTCCCTGTCTCTCACCCCCTGTCTCTCCGTCTCCCTGTCTCTCTCCTTCCCTCTCTCTCCCTCCCTCCCGCCCTCTCTTCCTCCCTGTCTCTCACTCTCTGTCTCTCCATACCCTTGTCTCTCCCTCCCTGTCTCCACCCCCTGTCTCTCTCTCTCTGTCTCCACATCCCTCTCCCAATCTCTCTGTCTCTGTCTCTCCACTCCACCCTCCACCTCCCTGCCTCCCTGCTTACACACCTGTTCCCTCTGAACACTAAGTCTCCTTCCGGCCTCCCCCCCCCCCCAGTTTCTACCTGTCTCCAGGGGTTGGGCTACTGTCCAGGCACCTTGAATTTGAGGAACGTATCTCTGTGTTGATGTTCGGGGATAGGGGACACATTCTGGCCCCTATTTATTAAGAATGTCGGCGTTGAGATGTTTCCTTCCTTCGGGCTCGAACCCTGTCAGCCCCTGCACCACCTGGTAGGAAGCTCATCTCCAGTGGGACTGACCACTGCCTCCCAAGAGCTCTGCCTCCACTGACCTGGATAACTGTGGGTTCCCAAGGTGGCTCCCTCTCCCTGTCTCTACCTCCAGTGGCCAGTGGAGCTGAGGGGTCAGCCTTTTACCAGGGCACACTGAGACCCACCGGCTACAGGGGCCGCTGGACCTACCAGAGGGTGCCCTGCAAGAGAAACCTAGAGTGTGAATCCCACCCAACCCCATAGTGAGTGTCCCCTCTGAAGTGGGTATGAGAATTCCCAGGTCCCAGAGACAAAGGAGGTGCCAATGCCCTCTGGGGCTGGTCTGTCAACTCTGAGCGCATGGGCTAGCAGGAGGGGTCAGCCCACCTTCCAGCCCCAGCCCCTCCTGTGGCCTGCCAGGCCACAGTGGGCAGGCAGCTGGGCAGGAGGGTCTGCCATCAAGCGCAGGAAGCGGGAGCCAGTGGGGAAGAGGGAGGCGTCACTAACCATGGCCACTCCCGAGTGTGTTCCTACCCGTTCCTCTTGGTACCTGGGGGCAGGTGGAACTGTCTTCATTCCCGTGTTGTGTGTTTGGTTTTAGTTTCGGCGCTGGGGTGCATCCCCCGCCCGGTGCACACCTGGCGAGTCCTGTACCCATGAGCAGCATCCCCAGTCCTAGTTACCCTTGCTTCACCCACGAGAAGACGGAGGGTCACAGGGAGATTTCATGGGAGAAAGAAGCCTGGCTGAGATGGCAGCAGGGGGACCTTGGGTCTGAGGCTCAAGCTCGCCTGAGGAATCAAGCAGTGCCAGGATGGCTCTGGGCGTCCTAGAAGAATTCCTGGCCCTTCTCTGCCTCAGCGGCGACCCAGGCAAGGAGCACAGTGTGGTTCTGAGAACTCAGAGGGTGTGCAGCCCACGGCAGGTTCCTTCCACATCTACTCATGAGACAGTTACTGAACCAGGCCAGAGCTGGCATGAGGCAGGCACAGGGCAGACAGACACCACTCAAACCCAGTGTGGAGTCCCCACAATCCTGCTTCCTCCCCTGCGTTAGTTGATAGAAAATAGAAGTCAGTGGACAAAGTTGCAGGCCATCCTTAGGAACATATAGCCCTGGAGGCCAGAGCCCAGCGCTCAGAAGAGAATCGAGCATGTGGGTCAAGCCAGTGTACTTGGGCTCTGTGTTACAGCGACTTGGCTGTTCCCGAGCTGACCCATGCATGTGTGGTGTGCTGCGTGGTGAGGTTTCCATCAACAATGGCCTCCCACATGGTGCTCCCAGAAGATCGTATTGCCGAGTGATGTCACAGCTTCAGCACAACACATACACTCCACGATGTTTGCAGTGATATACTTGCCTAACAAGTTATTTCCCAGAACATATGTTTTTACATACAGTCCACTGAGCAAAAAGGACAGTGTGAACAGTGTCCTCTCAACTGTTTCCATGGATTCCTACTAGGGTGGGCAGGGTGGGAAAACAACACAGGAGTGTTGAGGGGAAAGTTCTCCAACAGCGTCTCAGTTTCAAATCACACCCAATATCTGGGTGACCGTGGGAAACACACCTTCTCCCACTTCATGTTGTAATCTTATTCTCTATTGCCACAAGAAAATACCTACAGCAGGAGGGAGCTGTGGAGCAGGACTCGTAACCACAACAAAACGTGGCCAATTTCAGTTCTCCACGCACCCTGACCCTCCTCCCTCTGCAGGGAGGAGGCTGTGCCCTGGGGCAGGGGCAGCAGGTGGAATGCATGGACGGTCGGTCTCATTGGAATCTGTCCCTTTTATTTTCAATATCCCTCTGGGTACCCGAAGGCAAAGCAGTGGGCACAAGGTTCCTAGGTGCCCTGGGAACAGCCCTTGGCAGGTGTCTTTGCCACTCCTACTGGTAAAATGGCAGGAGAGGCCCCCACCGATACAAGATGGGAACCTTGAGCATTTGGTGACGAGGACAGGGACAGCCGGGCAGCAGGAGATAGCCTTTGCCTTCCGCTGCAGCAGGTTGGTGCCAGGGTTCCAGGAGGCACGGGAAGTGGGTGATCTGGGGAAGCTTATTGGGGTCGCCCTGGGCCAGGCACAGGTTGGGGGAAGCCGGGTACGCCCAGGGGCAGATGCTGGACAGCACACACCTTGACCCCGACTCCGACTCCGCGCTGGCCCCAGAGTCCTGTGGAGGGAAGAAGCCGGGCAGTCCCAGGTCTCTGGCAGTCATGAGGGGTCTTTCGAAGGCAGGGAACCCGTCCTCCAGCTTGGGGTTGGGGCTGGCCACAGGCCTATAGAACTCTTTGTAACGGAGCTGGGCATCGAGCTTGGCCTGCTGTGGAGACAGATCACAGGCCAGGGCTGAGGAGGACACCCGGCCACCCCAGGCACCCAGACAAAGCGCTTTTCTTTATTTTTAAAAGTTCTAAACTCTGCGTAGTGGTGTGAGTGGCAGAGGGACTGCTGGGGGACAGAGGGCTTAGGCAGGACTCAGTCTTGCTCCCCCAGGGAAGCCCCCGGTGTCTGTGCCTTTCTAGAATGTTTCGTGGACGTGGGAACATCTGCATGTGCATCTGCCCCAGCTGCTGGGCTCTGCGTGGCCCGCCATTCTGCTCCCTCTGGGTTCCTGTCTGTGGATCGACACCTCCCTCCGTCTGGGTCTTATTTTGGGTGGGGAAAGAGGCCCCGGGAGAGGAATGATGGTGACTCTGACCACTGTGCACATGACAGTTATGTCCAGTACAAACCAGCGACCGAGACCACTCCTGCCACTCGGCCCACGGAGGCTGCCAGCCCGGCGCATCTGAGTGCCCTGCAGGTTCACCAGCACACCTGGCGCCCACTGGGCAGCAATAAGGGATGGCCTGCGACAGGGCATGACCTCTCACCGGGGAAGAGACGGCCCATCTGCAGTCGGTGACCGGAACCACGACTGCACGCACTGAGCAGCACTCAAAGGCCTGGCAATGCCCACGGCAGCCAGAGGGCAGGGGGCAGGAGTGACTGTCCACTACTAGGGGGACACACATGGAGAGAGAAAGGGGCTCAGCCTCCCCCAGACCCCCATCCCATCTCTGGGTGAGTGAACGCCACGGGCCAGGTGGCCAGGTGTGGCTGAGTGAGACAAGTGCCCAGAGGAAAGGGGAAGTCCCCTGCTGGGTCACCCAGGGCGCTTGATCATGAAGGCCAGGGGAGGGTGTGAGTGACCCAGGCCAACACGTGAGAACATTCAAAGGCCATTTGTTCAAAGGGACACACATAGGGAGAAGCCACTGCACAGGAGGCCCACAGGAAGGAGGGCTTGGGGCTACACAGGAGGTGCGGGCGTGGGGGGCCCTGGGTGATGATGTGGGTACTTGGTGCTGCCTCTGTCAGTGTCATGTATAATTTCCAGTCTTTCCTACATAATGTTTTTTTTTGTTTGTGTTTTGCAGTAGGAGGGATTGAACCCAGGGGGGGCCTAACCACTGAGCCACGTCCCCAGCATTTTTGACTTTTTATTTACAGGGTCTCATTGTGTTGCTGAGGCTGGCTTTGAACTTGCAGTCCTCCTGCCTCAGCCTCCTGAGATGCTGAAATTACAGGTGTGCGCCACCGCATCTGGCTGTGTGCGTAATTTCTATATGATGTGCATTTTAACCAGTGCCCACACACGTGCACACACACATGCAGACACACAGGTGCAGACACACATGCAGGCACACATGTGCGCACACACGTAGACACACATGCACACATACAGAGCCTCTGAGCCAGGCCTCCTGGCACTGGGTGGTTTTTTTTTTTTTTTTTTTTTTTGGTAAGTGTGTAAGGTCTGCACTCATAGGGGGTGAGCAGGGCGGCTCAGGTAGAGAGCTGAGTGGGTGTCAAGGCGGTGACAATGTCCTACCTCTCCCGGCATGGCCCTGGAGTATCTGTGCTTCCCGTAGGGCTGGAAGTGCACCATGTAGGAGCTCTGGTACATGTCTAAATCCACGGGGGCCTACGCACAGGGAGAGTGGAAAGAAGATCCCGGTCTCATCACCCTTCCTCTAAGCCATCCAAGGGCTTCTCGCTGCAGGACAAGGACCAGCTGTGGGGCCTGGCGTCCACCTGCCTTCACCACCTCCCCACCACGGCATGTCCAGACGCTCCTCTTCCCACTTGTCCCCAGGCTGCACCCTGCTGTCTCCTGATGGAAACAGGGTTCCCTCTTCTCCCGCCAGCAAACTCCTAGGTATCCTTCAAGACCCAGATCAAATGCCACTTCCCCCAAAGTCTCTCTCCCAACCTTCCATTCTCCACCTCACCAGAATCAAACCCTTTCCCTTCTGCTCCAAGAGCAGTTTCACCCCCCTCCAGGATGGTCCTGTGGTGTGTCGTGAGGATTTAAAGAACCTTGTCTTAGGCATCTCTGTAGCCCAAGCCCAGCACAGGTGCCTGGCACACTGTGGGTGCCTAATAAATGCTTGCTGGATAAATAAATAGACCCCAGAATGCTGTAACGCTTAGCTGCTCTATGCCTGTTTCAAAAACATAAAAACAAAGGCCTTTGCTCCAGATGAGCAGAGGGAGCCTCCAAAGAGCCTTGTCCTCTCCTGAGGCTCCTTGCTGAGATGGTCACAGGGGACCACACCACTCACCTGTCCTGGGTACACCGTACGTTCCATGTCCAAGGCTCTAGAGGGACAAATTGGTTAGCCAGCAGCTACCATCAAAAGTTGTGCCGACCAAGGCCTGTTCCTGTTCCTCTTGTCTGTGCCTTGCACCTCCTGGCCACCTCCCTGCACAGAGCCCCCACCCAGGGTTGCTGGAGGCACCAGAGACCCATGGATGGTGGACAGGGGCCCTGGGTCAGGGGACCTAAGGCCTCTCACACATCAGGTTTAACTCTCCCACAGGAGAGGCAGACAGAGGGCAGGTGGTTTGTGGGAAATGTCAAACCACCACCTGTGTAGGGAATGTAAACCCTGAGCCCATATTTCCTGCCAATTCCATGGTGTAAACACTCCACCTAGGAAGTCACTGAGGCTAGACTGCAGGACGTGCACACTCAGGCCCTGGGGAGCCAGCTCCCCGCACCCAGTTCCCATGGGCCCGAGGCTCAGCCTGCCTGGGGGAGGCTGACCCAGGCCCAGCCCCGGGCACGTCACTCCGGAGCAGGCGTGTTCTGGGCCAAGAGTCAGCAGCTCTGCATTCAGGTTTCAGGATGGCAGCTCAAAGTCCAGCCTGCCCCTCGGCCGCAGCACCTGTGAGCTCAGAGAGCTCACTCCACTGCATGTGTGTGGACCATTGGGGGTCTTGGGGGTCACAAGCTCTGGGGCTTGAACCCAGGGAAGCTCTCCTATTGAGCTAGATCCCCAGCCCTTTTTATTTTATTTTGAGACAAGATCTTGCCAAGCTGCCCAGGCTGGCCTTTAACTTGCCATCCCCCTGCTCAGCCTCTCAAGTAGCAGGCATCACAGGTGTGGGCCTCTGTGCCCAATGACCTGACACTCTCGATGAGGGCTCCATTCACTCTTCTGAGCAAGCCGTGGCCAGCAGGAGGGGCACAGGCATAGCTCAACTGGCCCCATGTCCCTCCTGTGCAGACAACTGCTCTCCCAGGGACTGTGGACCCTCTTCCATGCTCGGAGCCTACCCCTCCTTCTGCCAGCGTGCACGGTGTTCCTGCCCTTGTAGCCCAAGTGCCCCTGCTGCAGGGAGAGCTGCTGTGGTGTCCCATGCCACACTTGTGCCTGAGACAGCCTGACCCATGCCGTGGGGCTGTTGTGGTCACAGGCCTGGCCATTGTGATGTGGTGGTGAGTCAGCTGTCCTGCATTGCAGTGCCCCGTGCCTGGCTCACATCTTCAGAAAGAGCCTCAGCAGTCTGCACCCCGGGGCCAACATGAACCCTGGTGGCACTGCCGACATTGCACAGCAAGCGGAGAAGCAGGTGAACAGAACCCCAGGTGGTTTGTGACATCAGACTGTCCAGCTGAATTACCTATGCCACAGTCCCCAGGCCTCTGCTGCTTGGGGGGCCCGCTCACTCTGTGTCCAAATCCCACCCTCTTTTGCATGCGTTAGGATGAATAAAATCAGAAAAACAAGACAACACAGAAAATAAGAGCAGTAGTGGAGGGCACTGAGAAATCCCAGCCTTTGTTCATTGCTGGTGATCATGCACAAGGACAGCAGCTGCTACAGAAAATAGTTTGGTGCTTTCTCCAGAGGTTAATCTCAGACTCACCACACAATCCAGCAATTTCAGTCGTTATAAATCAAACAGTTACAAGCAGGGACACAAACATATCATGCGTATGCCGATGTTCAAGGCAGCATGACTCACTACGCCCAACACCCACCAGAAGATGAATGGATCATCCAAATGTGGTACATACACATAGTGGAATATTATGCAGCCTTGATGCTAAACATGTATAAACTTGAAGATACTGTACTTAGTGGAAAAGAGAGCATCACGAAAAAATAAACGAGGTATGATTCCACTTAATTAAGGTGCCTAGTCCAACCAGATTCACAGAAAAAGAGAAGATCTTCCAGGGACTGCGGGAAGAAAAAATGAAGAGTGATGTTTAAATGGGCACGGAGGTGGGAAGAGGGTGAGGTGCCGGGAATAGGCAGTGGTGATGGCTGCTCACCTCTGTGGCTGTGCTTAGTGCCTGTGAACTGTCACTGAAAATGGCTAAGATAGCTGGGCACGGTGGTCCCCAGTGTACACAGTGGTGCATGCTGTACACAGTGGTGCACAGCATGCACACTGCATTCCCAGCTACTCAGGAGGCTGAGCTGGAGGATAACAAGTTCAAGGTCAATTTGGGCAAATTAACCAGACGTTGTCTCAAAATATAAACAGCTAGGGCTTCGCGCAGTGGTAGAGTGCTTGCCTCACATACACAGGCCCCGATTCAGCCCCTGGTGCCACAAAATGGAAAAACAAAGCAAACAAAGAGCAGCAGTTAAGTGGTGTGTATATACACAGCCAGGCCCAGGGCGCACACCTGTCAACCCCGCAGCCCAGGAGGCTGAGGCAAGAGGATCCCAAGTTCAAAGCCAGCCTCAGCAACTTAGTGAGACCCTGTCCCTAAATAAAAATAAAAAAGGCTGAGGACATGGCTCAGTGGTTAAGTGCCCCAGGGTTCAATCCCTGGTACAAAAGAAAAGGAAAAAAAAGAAAAAAGAAAAAGTTCCTGTGAATCTGATAAAGCTGAAGGAGTCGGCAGGGAGTGGGCACAGCAGGAATGTCCACAGGGGACGGCAGGTGAGGCCAGTGGTTCTGTGGCCCAAGCATAATCTTTTTCAGGGAAATACGGGCAACTAGCCTTTGCAACCTGTCCTCATCCTGACACTGTGGGTGCCCCTTCATGGCAGTGCGGTCAGCAGGCACCCTGGAACACGGTCCCAGCAGACACCAGGGGGCTGAGACTCCTATCGCCTAGGACAGCAAGGTGGCAGTGCGTGTGTCTCTGCATACCCGGGAAAGGCCGCCCATCAGTCTATGACAGCAGGGCAGTGTGTACAGTACTTGGGTTCCACACCCGCTGTGCCACGGGGCCACTGTGTGCTCCTGCATAGAACCAAGGCCCCCTAGGGGCAACAGCCCAGGCCCCCTCACTCCGTCCCTGCCTGAGTGAATCCCGTATTGGTTTGCTCCTCATGGCCCCAGGAGCAACAGGCTGCCCCATGCGTGTGGTGGCCATCAAGGCCAGGTGTGCCAGAGGGTCTGTGTAGTGCTACCTACGATGTCCTCACCACAGCAAAACCACCTACCAAGGTCTTTTTTATGGTTCTAGAAATTGAACCCAGGGTGCTCTACCTCCAAGCCACATCCCCAGCCCTTTTTGTACTTCCTTTAGACACAGGGTCTCACTGAGTTGCCTAGGACCTTGCTAAAGTTCTGAGGATGGCTTTGATCTCTCAATCCTCCTGCCTCAACCTCCCAAGTCGCTGGGATTAAAGGTGTGCCCAGGACCTTTCTTACTTAACTTTGAGAAAGAGTCTCACTAAGTGGTCCAGGCTGGTCTGGAAACTGCCATCCTCCTGCCTCTGCCTTGGCCTCCCAAGTCTCTGGGATCTCAGGCATGTCTTTTACATGCAAATGCTGCCAATGTCTGCCTTCCCTGCTTCCTGGGATTGAATCCAGGGTGCTCAACCACTGAGCCACATCTCAGCCCTTTTTATTTTTCATTTAGAGGCAGAGTCTCACTAAGTTGCAGAGGCTGGCTTTGAACATGCAAACCTCCTGCCTCAGCCTCCCAAGCTGCTGGGATCACAGGCGTGGTCACCACACCCCACTCCCAGTGAATTTCTAAGAACAGGTCCTTTTTGCTAAACAATGTGAGTCTATACTTACTGTCCCGCTGCCCTGATCAATGGTGTAAGTTCAGAAAAAGGCAGCTGGACCATCTGAGGGACAGACGCCATAGCTACCTGGAGAGGGTGCGGGAGTCAAGTACATGTGTCTGGTGTCTGTAAGGGAACCTGGGCTCGCCCTGCCAACGTGGCCCAGGTTCCTGAAGGGCTCTATGCCAGGCACTAGTAAGGGCCTAGACAGTGGTAAACAAACAGGGATGATCTCTGCCCTCAGGCACTTACAGCTCAATTGTAGGCAAATTCCTAAAGAATCACACAGGTGAGTCTTTAATGGCAGTTATGACAGCTTACAGAGGGAGCTGAGTGGGGAGCCCATCCAGCCCCGGGCAGCCAGAGAAGACCTGCTTGGTCCTGGGGATAGTCCTCCATGCTGGAGGGCTGGAGAGGCAGCTCTGTCAGTGCAGAAAGGAGGGTCACGGTGGCAAGGCTGAAGGGGAGGGGCCTCCTGGGTGGCGTCCTGAGCGCTGTGCCTTCAACGCAGGCCAACACACCGTGATTGTCTGCAATGTCACAATGTCGCGTTTAGTGCCAGCAACACATTCTCAGGCTGAGCCTCTTTCCTCACTGGCAGATCACTGAACACTGGCGGGACACCTGGCAGGCCTGAGCTGGGCCATCACAGGTCCTTTCATGCCAGTCTTACTTCCTAATATCTGTGACAATCCAGCCACAATCAGACTTGACACAGGTACATATGTGATCACAGCAAGGCTGGGAAAGGGCCAGGCAGCCCCAGGGCATGGCAGGCTGGACTGACAGCAGAGCAAAGAGCAAATATGAAGGCACAGGGTCACTGCACAGGGTCACTGTTGTCAGACATGGTCAGGACCTGCCAAGGAACTTGTGCAGGGTGCAGAGCCATCAAAGCACAGGACTTCTTCCAGGCCAAGGTCCAGACAGGGCAGTTTCACAGTGTCAGCCTGAGGAGTGGGATTTCTGTGATTGTCACAGGCAGGAGAAACCACGATTTGCTAAAGCAGAGGTCCTGAGGCGCCTGGCTGTAGTTCACTCGCTCAGGACGAATGACCAAGTGACAGGGTCCAGGCAGCTGGACCATCTGAGGGACAGACGCCATAGCTACCTGGGGAGGGTGCGGGAGTCAAGTGCATGCGTCGCATGTCTGTGAGGGAACCCGGGCTGGTCCTGCCAAGGTGGTTCAGGTTCCTGAAGGGCTCTATGCCAGGTGCCCCTCCTCTTGGGGGCCTGGGGGTGCATCCTTGGTGGTCTGGTGTGCTCCATAACTCACAGGCCTGGTTTGCCAACATGGATTGGTGTGTCTACGATTCCGCCTGCTTCTGACTGATTTGATGGATTCACAGATGGTCATTCTCATTAGCGTGGCTAATTTACTTTTCAACTGTGCCTGGTGGCTGTGCCAGGCAGGTTGTGGCTGTCCACTGGGACAGACAAAGTACGCAGTCATTTCTTCCAGCACTGAGACCCAACGTGGAGGAGCCCGCGGCCGCTAGCCTTACAGAACCGGCAAAGTCCTGGGCAGGCCGAGCCCTGTTGCTCCACAGACCGTGGAAGAACTCGAGGAGCTGCCCTCCCTGGGCACAGGGGGGTCCGTGACTTTATCCTCTGCCCCTGCGTGATGAAGGTGGCCGGGGGGTGAGTGAGACAAGGTGCCGGCGGACCTGGAGAGATGTGGGTTGGTTGAGGGGTGTTTAGAAAGGAGAGGGTCCAGGGTTCAGTCATGATTATAATGGAAGCGGCAGAGACGCGAGGCCCAGAGAGGTGCCTTTTGGAAGGAGCCCCTGGAGCCTGTGGGTCCTTTGATGAGGAAGGAAACACTGGAGGCGCAGGTTGGGGAACAAGGCCAGGAATGCAATAGGGCTCGGGCCGGAGCTGGAGGTCCTCCGGAGAGGGACCGCGTGGGCAAGGAGCAGGCTCTCAGTGCTGGTGACCCGGTGGTACCTGGAGTTGTTAGGGCTCCAAGTCCCTAAGTCTGCCTCCCAGGCAGCCCTGTGGGGGGCGGGGGAATGACACTGGCAGCAGCAGGGGGTCCTGTGTCCTCCCAGGAGTGTTCCAGGGCCGCAAGCAGTCCAGAGGGCACTAGGCCCCCTGGCCCAGCATGCAGGCCTCCCTCGGGCTCCTTTGGTTGCCTCCTTTGCTGCACCTGGGTTCCTGCAGAACCTCTGGGCTCCAGCGAGGCCATGTTAGATGCAGCAGGCTGCTCTGCAAGAGACTGGTGCTGTGACAGGCCAGGCGCCTGGCCCTAGGAACCTCAGCGTCCCCTTCAGGGTAGCTGACAACTTGTGTGGCAGGACCTCCTCAGCCGCAGACCATCACAGCCTCCGGATCCCCTGGGCCTGCCCTGAGCAACATCAAATGTTACTGTTGTTAAGCATTTCCACGGCGAGTCCATCTTGTGTTTCCAGAGTATGAAACAGTTGTATTTCTCCTGGTTCCCGTCCACTTTGGCAGACTGCAAAGTGGTCACCTGTTCTTTTTTTTTTTTTTTTTTTGATACCAGGTATTGAACCCAGGGGCATTTAATCACTGAGCCACGTCCTTGGACCTT